GGCGCCGTGCAGACAGCTCTGCTTTGCCAGGACTTTTTGTCCCTTGTTTTTCTGAAAAAAACAGTGGTTATGGAACAAGTGAGATGCGAAATGGGAATTCAGATGCCTGGAAGGCACTGGTGGCAGGGGGTGCGCTGGAGACCCTAAAGCAGGTAATGTGCAGCATTCCCTTAGGACATGTGGAAAAAATGTGGCTCATTTTCCAATGCTGCTTTGTACTAGTGCCTGCACTAATACAAAGTAGCCTAATTTTCTTTTAGCTTTGCAACAGGCTTTGGAAGTGCTCCTGTGTAACTCTGGGGGCCATGACTTCAGAGCAAAAAGTCAGCTCCTCTCCCCATCTGCTCCCCTTATTCCTCTCCATGGAGCAGTTTTGTCCCCCAAGAATGACTTTGTTTTAAACTATACCTTGTCCAATGGCCGAGATAAGGTTGGTAGCAGGCTCCCTCTGACCAGCTGTTCAGTTGTGCAGTGCCTTAAAAAAGTCAGGGGAAAAAATCACACTCAGGGTTCAGCCATAAATGGATGGGGGGATTTTTGGAAGACTAGCTAGGGACGGTGAAGTTGTAACATGGCAGCAGGTTGTTGCTGGAGCAGTGGCAGCTGGGAGCTGGCGGGGGACCTCTGCAAACTGGAGGGAGGCACTGGTGGTGGTAAAGGCACTTTGGGGGCATTTTGGAGCTGAGCAAGAGCTGCAGGGGTTCGGCTGGCCAGCCGTGTCCTAAGTGCAGTGTCCAAGCTCTGTGTTGAACAATAAATACTTCATTTTCCAAGAACAAGTCACTTCCTGGCATGGCTCTTGCAGCCCATTCTGCACGACGATGGCTTCAAGTCCAGTGTCCCACGCGATGGAGGTTGTGGGTGCAGAAAGCTTTAGTCGGTCTGTTAAAAGATATTACATCAGCCCACGCTTGAAGTCAAGCCACCTTTAAAATGCAGCATCCACACGTGGGCAGGGGGATATTTTCGATGGAAGTTTGCTCTGTGTGTGCTCATCAGTGATGTGCTGGTGTGTATAAACCCCGTGCAGAAACAAGTTTATGGTCAGCTGTATGTCCTGGTGGGATCTGTGGCCAACGGGGTCTGTCTGGAGACCTCAAGGATGCTGCAAAATGCCTTCGGTTGGGGAAAATACCTGCAGGGTCCATCATTGCTGGAGTGTGTTGGGTCTGCAGAGCATCCTGCAGGGTCTGAGGCTGGGCAGGAGCAGGGAGGCAGTGGGTGACCAGTGCCTGGTTTCAGCACTGAGCCCTGTGGCCAGCTGGTCTCTGTTGGGCACCATTGGTTTGGGCATGGGATCCCAACAGGGAACTGTGAATTGATGCCAAGCCCTGGAGGGCTTTGGTGGAAAAGTCCCACGGAAAGGCGTTTGCCACACAGTCAGAGCTCCTGGGATTTCATTATAAGCCCTGAGACTTCAGGGCTAAGTTTCTCGCAGCCTCCTTGTCACCAAGAATACCCAATTAACATCAGGCCTTTGTATAAAAATTTAAAAGGGGAAATTGCGCTTGGGCAATCCTCTTTGTCTTAATTTTCCTTGCTTTGTTGCTCCTTGGCTGAGCGAGCCCATAGCCCATATTTATAGCAGGCTGAGGAAGGAGGAGGTCTGTAACAGCTCACTGTGCACCCAGCCCACACCACAGGTTTGTGGGGAGGCTTCGAGGGGAGCAATGGGGTTTTCTGCTCCTGTCAGGCACCTGAGACCATAATGCTGATTATTTTTTTTCAGCCAGAACTTCCCCAAAACCCCAGCCAGTCGCTCAGAGGATGAAGGAAAACTAAGTTAATATACCTGAGCAGCATTGGCTGATTCTGGAAAAAATGAGAGTAAAAGAGGGCAGCTTGGGTGTTTAATGGGCGTTCAGTGGGTGAGGTTGAAGCCTTCAGATCAGAAGGGGTTTCATTGTGGTCTGCTGTTTGTATGGAAACTTACAGGTGCTGCTGGTTTTGCCTGGGTGACCGTGGAGCTTTGCACTGGGATTTCTTGCCAAGGGCAGAGAAGCTCCCGATGCTGCCGTGCTGCTGAGTGATGATGTGTACGAGGGAAACTTGTGGTTGTGGACTTGGATTGAGGCTTGGTGGTGACCTAAGTACTTGAAAAAAGTGGTTTATACCAGAGGCTGGGGTCAAGGTGCGACCTGCTCTGCCGAGCAGACGGAGATATTCCCAGCAGGTTTGGGAGGATGCTGTGCAGCCAGCAGAGGCGGGGAAGAGGCAATCAGCTCGTCCACTTGGTGCTGGGAGGTCTTTCTCCTTCTGCCTACATCAAGGGTTTGAGGACTTCTGGCCTCACACCGTTTCAGTTACTGCTCCAGATGGGGCTGGAGGAGGTAACGTCAGGTTAACTCCGAAACAAGACCGGCTGCTTCCCAGAAGGAAGCCTTGAGGTGACTCAGAGCCGTGGTTGGTGGAGCTCAGCCTTGTGGTGGGGGCAGCGTGAAGGGGACGGGATGTCTGGGTGGCAGAAAGCCCTGGGAGGCTGGAGATGAGGTTCTCAGCCCGTGTCCCCCGCCAGCTCCTCCCCAATGGGTTCGCTCCGGGGTTGTGTGTGGCCGCGGGTTGTCCCCGCCAACGCTGTGGAAGTCCCCTGGCAGGAGCAGAGCTATGCGATGCCCTCGAAGCCATCTGCTCCGTGGTAATTCGGCTCCTGCCAGAAGCCAGGCAGTGGGTGGGAGCTCCAGACAGCTCCTGCTGTGATCTCGCTTCATTCTCTCCATCCACCCCTTCTCTGGGCTGTTCTGAGTCGGTGCTGGGTGCTCCGGTGGCTTCCAGGACAGTGCTGCTCAGCCTTTCCACAGCTTACACAGGGCCAGAGGGTGTACGCGAGCTGCACAGGCCAGGGTTGTGCTGGGGAAAGTGGGAATCAGTATGCAAACAGCCCCTTGCAGCATTTGAAGGAAACGGGGCTTGCGTGACCTTGCCGTCTGCATCTGCCTGGCAATTTGCGATAACTTTTGAACTCCTGGGCTGATTTCAGCAGGGCACAGTGGGGATGGAGTGCAAGTTGCATGGAAGTAGGGGAACGGGACATCGCGATGCAAACATGCAAGTTTGGCTCCAAGTCCAAGTGGTTTCGGACTTGGCTGTTTCCTGGAGCACAGGCACCGGGGCCAGAGGACACGGGGGCAGAGGCTGGGCAGGGGAAGAGAGGGCAGTTTTTGCAAGTGTTTCTAAAGAAAAGGTAAAATCTCCATATAATCTAGTTGATAAAATGGTTTGCCCAAAGCACAAATCTCAAACAAGTTAGACATTTCTTTCCTTGTTTTCTAGAATTTCCTGTTTTTCTGTGTTTCCTGTGTTGTTTTTTTTTTTAATCACTACAGACTCCAAAAGGTGTCTGTTTTATCATGTTCAAATTCAGTGTTAGTTTTTTATTGCTAATTTTTAACCAAAAATTTGCTTCATCGCTTAGACCTATCTAGTTCGAGCTTGTGGGGTATAAGGATTTGAGGGGATGTTGGGGTGGTGGTATAAAGGGACAAATGTCAGGTTACCCAGCATCAAATTTCATTCTTAATGGCTTTAGTGGGACGCAGCCTGAAGTGTAAGACATTAAGTTTCAAACCCCCTGGTAGAACTAAGGGTAACAGTTTGTAAGATACAGTACATGGAACTATTTTTGCTCTGCAACAACATACTGGAGGCTGAGCTTTGCACTGTACCCTGGACCCGAAAGTATTCCTGAGACATTTGCTTCACCAGACTGCAGCAGTGGGGGGTGCCACAGGGACCTGAGAGCCATAGCTCGTCCCCCAGCATCTTGTGGACCGGTTTGCACAGTGTGGGGTGTGTGCCGTGGGGATGTGGCCCCGTTCCCAGACTCTGGCTGGTTTGCAGAAATATTCCCCAGAATCATAATGTGAGCTAGCCAGCACCAAGCTGTTTTGGTGCTGCTCTCTTCCATGCTAATTGGCTAACAATTTGGGTAATTTGGAGCATCTGCTCCATTCCAATGACATGATGTTTCGTTTCCTTTAACAAGCCTGGTGTGTATTCCTTCCAAAAAGGGGTAAATAGAATGCTTATGCAACAGCCAGACACACTAAATCAACCAACACAGTGCTTCCCCCATATCAGCTTTCCAATTAATTCTGCTTCAGTAGGTAAATGGTATTATTAAGCTGCTTGGGGTTTCTGGTGAGAGCTTCGCTCCCTCCTGTCTCAAGGCAGTGCGAACTGCTCTGGGTGCACAAAGGGGGCTGTAAATGAGTATCAAGCCCCCTAGCCAGGCTCCAAAGTGGCAGGCAGGAGGTCACAGGCCTGTAGAGAGCATCCTTTGTGTTAAAAACTCCCCCTCCTTGCTCCATGGGGCCCCTGCATCTACCCCAGTGCAGGTGGGACCCTCAAATTAACTCACCCTTTTTTCTTTTTTTCTCTCTTCCCCGCAGTTTTATCTGCAGGCCAGGTTCACGTGGAAGGGCGCCCGCCTGCTCCGTCCCCTGCTGCAGTTCACGCTCATCATGATGGCGTTTTACACCGGCCTGTCCCGCGTGTCAGACCACAAGCATCACCCCACCGACGTGCTGGCAGGCTTTGCACAGGGAGCCCTGGTGGCTTACTGCGTGGTGAGTGCTGCTGCAGGGGGGGGCCCTGGGGTTGGGGTTACTGGTGCTGCTGCTGTGAGCTCGGTTTTTTAATGTAGCGGAAGGGCTCGTGAGAAAACTGTTAACAAAAGCCGTGTCTGCTTGTCTGTGGCAGCCTGGGCTGCTCTCATGCAATTTACTCTCTGAGGAGTGACCTGATTGCAGGCCCCATAACTGGAAGTGACAGATGGAAGTGGTGGGGGGCACCGGGGCTGTTCTCAGGGTTGCTGCCTCGCCTGGAAACAAAGGGGCTGGGGTCGCTCGTGTCTCTGTACAAGCTCCCCAAACCAAGGCTATAAAAACTTACCACTTTCTGGTCTAGAGGTGTTTTTGTTTTGTTTTTTTTTTTAACTGATCGAAAAGTGATGCAAAACGAGGCAAGGAATTAAGTTCCCTAATGCTTTATTTCTCAGGGAGAGAAAATAGGTTGTGTATATACTTTCCACTCATTGATAATAATCCATAGCTAAGTCAGAAATGGCACGGCTGGAAAGTTGTTACAAAGCCTTATTAACCCACTGGGCAATGGTTGTTGGGTTGTGGCGTTGCTGAATGCCAAAGTTCCTTTCAGGCACGTGGAGCCAGCAGATGCAGAAGGCAGCTGCCTTAACCCTGCCGCCAGCGTCAGCACAGCTCCTGCATCTTCCGTACCAATACTGCCAGGGTGTTTCCACACATCCTGGTCATCTTTTCCTCTGCGAGGTTTGCAGGAGGTCTAGACACCAGGTCACATCACCAGGCAGTGTTACAGGGGTGCAGTTAACCTCTCCATATGCCAGCAGTATTTGGGATATAGGGCAGTGGCTGCCCGGATCACGGTGTCAGGAAGACAGCAGCTCTCCGGATGCTTGGTGCAGACATCCCCAGGCTTCCTGGCCGGGGCAAGCAGCAGATCTGGCCGTTTTCCCCCCAGCAGATGGAAGCTGTGCTGGGAAGGGGAGGCCACAGCAGTGCTGGGCTGGTTTTCCTGTACGGAGGCAAAGCAGTGTAGGAAGCAGCTGCCTGCGAGCTTCACAGGTGGGCACGGGTTTGCTGGCGCTGCCCTTTCCAACCAGCTTGTGGAAGAGCTGGTCATCTCCATGCCCGTTTGGCGACAGGGGTTGGAGGCCAGGAAAGCCTCACCCCAGACTCTTTGGGGTAGGTGGAGGTCTTAGAGCATTTTGCTGGTGTGTCCCAGGGCTGCTAGCCCAGGTTGGGTTCGGGTGCTCATGCAGGGGATGCTGCGAAGCAGAGGCAGGGACCTGCTGCTCTTCCCCTCCCTGCAGCACAGCCTTCAGCAGCACGCCGGATGATGGCTGTTAAAACACCGTAGTTATCAGGCTATAATTCCTGCTAGAAACCGATTGTGGGTTTCACCTCCGAGGACTGCCAGGACTTAAATCCAGGTTGTGCTGCAGCAGACGCGTTTGTCCTCCAGTGCCTGAAATAACAAGCAGAAGACATTAATGTCAAGCGCTTCCAGCTGATGAAACATTCGGACTTGGTTCCAGCATGAAATACGATGAGGACTGCTTAAATGGAAATAGTTTTTATGCACGTCGTAGGCAGCCTTCTATGTGTTGTGCAGTTTGTCTTTTCTGATGGAGAGAAAAGGGGAGGCGTCAGAAGGACACGCTCCTGGTGTTGCTCTGGTTTGATCAGAAGGTTGGTTTAACCTCTCTGTCTGTGATTAAGGAATTCTTCAGCACACCGAAAAGGAATATGACTTGCTAAGTGGCAATATAAGATATTGGCTTTGTACAACAGGCGCTCAGTCTTCTGCTGTCAAGTTTTCTTTATGGGTGGAGAGCACCTTCTACAGGAAATGGAGCTAATCCAAGTGAAAAACTTTGCACGTTTATTAGTCCTTTTTTGTGTTAAACACTTCAAGCATTAGGAGGATTTAACACACTGTTTTAACCCCAAAAGATCATGTTTCATGATTCCTATAAGTGTTTGTATAACCTCCAGCCACGTTGAAGTGAAATACAGTTTAAAGAGAAAGAAAACCTCTTACCCAGGTCTCTGAATGAAACCCCGAAAAGCAGCAAGCAGCACAGTAAAGGCTGAAGTGCGCAGGATGACACTCCACCATAACTCACTCCTGTCCAAAACAAGGACCAGGCTCAGCGTAATCCCCATATGCTTCTTGCACTGAGCACTCTCCTCCCGTAAATCAATTTGTCATGGCTGTGTCGGTGCAGAAATTGGACATCTTTTTGATTGAATCCAGCTCTCCGAGGTGGGCACGCGAGAGCGCTGGCACCAGCAGCCAGCCGAGCGGAGGTTTTACGCTTGTTAACAGCCAAGAGGAAAACCATCACCAGAGCAGCTCAAGATGCTCATGCTCTGAGATGCGGCAGCAAGAGGCCAGATCCAGGCTTGTGATCCTCTGTGGGTTCAGCTGGATCCTTTGATGGAAATTGAGGTGCAAATGCTGCCGCTTGGATGCCCTGTAAATGACTTTACCAGCTCCGTTACAAAACCAGGCAGCCAGATACCAACACGTCCCCGAGGAAAGAGCCACTTTGCATGTCAGCTCCTTCCGTGCCTGTCTGTGAAGCAATAAAAGCTGAGCAGCAACAGCTTGGCTTCCTGAATCCGCAGTTATGGTTGTAGGAGTGAATTGCCATTTATAGCAGGTTTGGTGTCTATTCAGCTCAGTTCCTTATCTTCCTGTGCTGATATGGACTTGCAAAAGTTGTTTCCAAGGACAACTAAACTTGCTGTGTGAGGCTGTGGGTAGCTAGAAAACATGGAGAGGCAGAGGGGAACGTCTCAGCTCCCTCCCTGTGTTACCCAGCCTGAAGGTGTAAATCTGATATTATTCATTTGAGCACCTTGGATTTTTTCCCTCCCCTCATTTACCTTATTGCTTAGATGTTGGATCTGAGTACTGGAGGAGAAAAGTCAAATGTGCTGCTAATTCCTGCAGCTGCCACGTGCTGCTCTTCCCAGGGCTTCAGTTCAGCTAACCCACACCTTGCTCCGAGTTACCAGCGCTTGATGATACCTGAAGCTGAGCCAGCGACTTTGGGCTGGCAGAAGCCACTGATGGCACAACTGAAGTTCTGGGATTTGGTACCAGCTAACAAAGAGAAGAGTCCTGGCTGCTTTTTGCTACCTCTGGAGGATCTGTGCTGTCTAAGTCTTTTCCCTCCTGGTGTGGGGCTGAGGTTTGGCATGGGAGAAAGTGCCCCGGTCTGACGGCGCTGATAAGCTCAGTGCAGCGGCTGCCAAGGGAGGATGTGGAAGTTTCCTCCCAGCACTTTGTTTCTTATTGTGTTGCTGCCTCCCGAAATTGCCAAGCGCTGGCTTTTTCACATCCGGGAGAGGGCTTACATCACGGGATATTTAGGAAAAAGCAGTCAGGAATGGCTCCTCCTCTATTCTCTGGGCCGGTGGGGAAAGGGCAAGATGTGAATCAGTCCATCGTGTGCTTTGGACTTGCTGCCTGTAACATTTAGTACAATTTGGATTTGAGGGCTTCTCATTGCCTACCTGGTGTCTGCCTAAATGTGTTATTTCACATTGATCCCATCCCTAAAACAGCTTGCATGAGTCAGGCAGGCTCATTGGAGACCTTTGTTTTGTGTGAGTGTGAGCCGTGTGTCTGTTTCCTGGCTTTTTAACCCGCTCAGCAGTGGGGTTGCGGTCCTGCTCTTGGTGAAGACACAGCAATAAATGAAATTGTTCTGTCGTGTTTTTATGCTGTGTTATGTGAGGTCTGAGCCTTCTGTGTCCTACGGGAAGGTGGTAGCAGGTGCTGGGGCTACATGCAGGAATTCAACAGCACAAGAAGTGTTTGAGCCTACAGCTTTGTATGTGCTTTGTAAACCAAATTTGTGAATGAAGCATCTCCCAGTGGGGCTAAGTTTGCCTTTCCCTCTTGTTCCCCCAGGTGTTTTACGTCTCAGACCTCTTCAAACCCAAGACAAAGACCTGCCTGCCACCGCCCCCCATCCGGAAGGAGATCCTTTCACCTGTGGACATCATTGAACGCAATAACCATCACAACATGGTGTAGGCCTTTGAGAGATCGGATTGGCGTTGTATTTTATTTTATTTTTTATTTTTGCAAAAAAATGACTGCTGACAGCAACTACCTGCTGCTCTCAAATCTCATCAGACAGTAGAATGTAGGGAGAGACTTTCTTGCCCGACCGGTAAAGTCTTACTCTGTGGTCTTTTCAACTTGCGACATTTGGAGGAAAAGGGGTGGTGGTCAACTAAGTCAGAAGCAACAGTGAAAAACAGACACACGACAAAAAGCTGAACAAGCAACGAGAGCTGCCGGAGTCCTGGATGTGCAATTGGTTTGAGTGTTCATGTTGTAGTGAACGCCAAATTGTTCATAGCGTAATGAACACTAAGGGATTTTGGAAAGCTGGCCATCTAAGTTGTTTTTGTTTTCTTTTTTATGATGAAGATGTCCAATGCCTGCGAGGAAAAAAAAAAACAACTCACAATTGAATTATATAGCACTATGTATGAGAAACAGCACTGAGTCAAGATCTGGGATTGGGTTGTAAGAGTTGATATTTTTTTTTCCTATCGGATGCTAGTTTGTTTTTGCCTCCTCTGTTCCATACTGTGACTTAGCGTAGAAGAAGCTTGCCCAGTCAAAGATGTCCGGAGGGTCTCTGTTCACACTACACACCTTTCACAAGCAGTCCTGAGACACGCAGCGAGGTTGAACAAACCCACCCTTGGCACAGAAAGCCACATTTCTTCCTTCCCGCTCGCTTCCTGGCGAGGCTTCATCCTGCCTGAGCCACCGGGCGCATGCAGCAGCCGCAAATGGCCTTAAAATGGAAAAGAGCATCCTCCGCTTCCCGGTCCTCCCCCCCCCTCAAAATCGCAGCAGATTTTCTGTGCGCTCACGGTTTGGGCAGTGGCGGCTCTGCCGGAGGCACGTTCGCACTACGACCTCGGGGCTGAGTCCTGGGGAAACTTTAATTCTGCCGTTTTGGGACGGGCTGCTGGGCGGCACGTCCCAGCCTGGGTGTCAGTCGGTTCGTGCATCCCCCCCTGCTTCTCCCGTCGGCGCCCCGGTGTGCGCTGCCGCCGCGGGTGCCAGGCGGAGTGCTCTGCTCGGGGACACCGGTGGGAAATCAGTTGTGCCTCCGCCGAGTGTGATTTTTTTTTTTTTTGATTTTTTTTTTGTTTTTGCCCGGAAACCACAGGTTTTTGGCTTGCAGACCTTTCACAGAGCGCGCTTGCAAAGGGATCACGCAAAGCATGCAGAACGGCCATTTGCACATCCTTCGTACAGAATCCGTCCTATCATTTCAACTATAGCAAGCTATGATTTTTTTATATATAAATATTATATAAATAATGTATAAAACCTTAAAAATTAACTATGTAAAATATTATTTCTGAAACAATTTTAGATATATCCACTATGACTATAAACTGTGTCCTGACCTGTGTTATTTACATTTTGCTGCTTAAAAAAGCATTGAATTAATTTTTTATAGTCGACTAAAATATTGTAGTTCTGTGGTAGTAATATTTTAATGAAAATAACTACAATTAGAGACATTTGTATAAAAAAATCATATTAAATTGTCTGTATTTTTGTAATGTTCCATTTTGTAAAGAGAAGAATATTCAAAGACTTTTGTAGAATACAAAATTAAAATTTGTATCTGCGAAATTATTGCTGTATAAATGTGCTTTTTAAATAAAAGCTCATAACACAACTAAACAGCCCCAGGTGTGTTGCGTCCTGCCTTTGGGTTGATCCCTCCTGCCCAGGGAATTCGGGTCACCCTTTGGGACTTGATGCACGCGTCATCTGGATGTAGGGGACCCGATGCCACCATAGATAGGCTTCTTGGGTGGAGAGGGTATGGTGGCTGCAATCACAGGTTTGCATTGAACTGCTCCTGACAATGCCCAGGCTTTAAGGACATTTCTTTTTATTGATTGCATCCCTTTCTCTCTATCAGTATTCTAAGATTTAAAGAAATATGTTTTTTTGTGTTTGTTTTTAAGAGTCTGGCTGCTGGGTCTCCCAGGAGGGCTCACAACTCTGCCAACACCTTTCCCATGAAACAACCCCATGATACTTTGCAACTGAACCAAAAGCCTTGCAGCTTGATGGGTTGTGAAGATGTGGGTGGAAGGGGAAAAGAGGAAAAAAAAACATCCCACAGTGGCGTGTGCTCACATACACACACGTGCACAGCGTACGGTTCCACTTCAGGCTTGATTTTTTTTTTCCCCCGCTCCTACAGGATCTGAGAACAAAATTAACTCCTTGGTGGTGACACCCTCAGTCAGAGCTGCGTTTCGGCCACTCCTTGGGTGAACCACATTGGCAAGATAACGCAGCACAGAAATAATTTGCAAGAATGCATGACAGGAAGTGAATACCACATCAAACTGAAAATAAATAGCAGGTGGAAATTAAGCAGGCAGAGCTCAGCTAGCACTTGCTATTATTACCGTAATTAGTAGTAGTATTTTATTACGTGTGGAACAACTTAGTAAACCTGTGCCTGTCCTAAATGCAAAGGGAGCTTTGCTAGTGTTGGGTGTATGGAAACAGGTGTACAGATACATGGGGGACAGAGGAGGGCTTGGGGAGCATCAGGCAGCTGGGGAGGTGGTGAGATGCTGGAGGCCTTGTGTGGGATGTGTAAGCCAGGTATGGGGCAGGAAAGGCAGTCAGTGCATGTTTCTGGACAACGCAGCAGGCTTTAAGGTTATAATGCGTGTCCTGGTGTCAGTAGCACCGTGTCCTATTTCTGGCTCTGCTGCTCACCCCTGCCGACTGCTTGGTAAATAAGCAAAGGGGAGTGATGACTGCCAGCAGCACAGTCCAGAGAGCCCTGTCCCGATTAGCAGAAGAGTGAGTGTATAGGTGCTAGAGGAGGAATGAGTTCTGGGCATGTTGGGCCAGGCAGTGGCAGGGTGATGCTGGACACCAGTGTGGGAGGCATCCCGCAGCACTGGGAGCTGCCACTTGCACATCACAGGCACCACCACAAATGTGGAGGGGAGACTGAGTGGGGTGGCTGGATCTCAGCAGGCAGTGTGAGCCATGAGAACAGCAACGGGGCATATCTATTACCATTGCTTCCCGCAGGGCAGGAAGGAAGTGAAAGAGAAAAGAGTGAAATGGAAAAAGAAAAAAAAAAACAAACAAAAACTTTTAAAACCAAACCATACATGCTCTAGGATCTGAAGGCAACCACTTCTGCAGGCAGTCCCTGAGCAGAGTCTGTGCGTGCTGCTGGAGCATGCACCGTGCCAGGTTTGGTCCTTCATGCACATCAGCGGGGATGGGGAGCACCCACGAGACTGTGGCTGGCTGGGTTGGGCAGCACGGTGGTTTTCATGCTGCAGCTCTCCCAGTGAGTTTGATGGATGAAAAGACTCAAACACATTTATGCAAACCAGGCACGTTGCTGGAGCCTGAGGCTGGGTGCCCGTTGTGGCCTTCAGTGCTGCAAAACGTGGGCTCTGCTCCTGCAGATGCTAATCGGAGGCTGTGGAGCACCCAGCACACATCTGCCTTTGATGCTGGCAGGTCCTTTCTGCACAAGGGGCTGTTCCAGTCAAACCTGTCTTTTTTTGCACAGAGACCGGTTCGGCGTGTTTTCACACGATTCATGCAGTGCACCTGACTGCTATGGGAGCAGATCTTTTGTTCCAAGGTAAGAAAGGTTTACGCAAGCCCCAGGTTCGGCCGTGTTTCGGTGTACCCAAACAGCTTCCCTCAGCAAGAATGCTTGGCAGCCTTCAGTCGCTGAAGCTGTTGAACTTCTGCTTGATGATTTTTTGGATATGAAGTTTTCAATCAAGGGAGGGAGAGGGAGGAGATCCGTCCTGCAAGCAGGGACCTGCTGTGCTCTGCTCCAAACATGGCTTGTTTGGGTGGCCGGAGGTTTCATCCAGCTGTTTGCAGCGACCCAGCCAGCAGCCAGCCACAGGGCCACAGGACCTGTGAGGCTGAGCTCCTCCAGCTCGGTGCTGGAAGCTGGTTTCAGCCTCCTGACCACACCATGGACACCTCAGGAGACAGCACCCCGTGTTTGCTGCATTTCTCACCCCACGTCCCCTTTCTCTTGCCGCACCCTCGGCTTCACCCACCGCTCCCCTCCCAAGAGGCAGGCCTGGTGCTCAGCCTCACCTCTGGGGCCGAGATCGGAGAGGCAGATTTTATGAATGAGGTGAATCACCCGGCTCCTGCCGTCTGTAAACACAGGCTGGGGGCCTCCTTACAGACCTGGGCTGCTGCCCAGCCCTGCACACCTCCCGACACTTGCTGACGGGGTGCCAGGGGCCTGCCAGGCCTGGGGC